GTAAATAATGAATGGTGGTTTTCATATTTTAGCATGGGCCACCTGGGTGCCTGTGGTGCCCAAGGCTAGTCACCAACTTTAGCGCTGTATCTCCTCCACAAAGTCTCAATGTTTTTCTCCCTGTGTGTTTATTGTACAGCAAAACAAATGTGTATTTTCTGTTATGTTCATATGAACGCTCAACTTTATGTGTGTTTGTGTGTTGTGTTGTGTGTGTGTGTGTGTGTGTGTGTGTGTGTGTGTGTGTGAGTGAGAGAGAGAGAATGGTAGTAAGATACAGTTCTTCTGAAAGCAGTTTCATAGCACACTCTTCAGATGAACTATGGGGCCATTCCCCTGAGGCCTATTAACTAGGTAGAAAGATGATGTTTGCACCTGTCAGGTGACTAGCTTTTGAAAGGTCTTGAGGAGTAGACACAAAATCAGCAACCAGTTTCAGATTCGGGATCCGAATCCTATCAGACATTATAAGAAAGGCCGTGATGCGCATTTTCTGCAGACCCAGTAGAGAGTTTGCACGGATGTCAGGAAAAGTGGATTTTACTGCTGGTTATTCCGTGGAGACTTTCTGAAGCGGTTTCCGAGCAGAACAGGACAGGAGTATGTCTCCTACAAACCCTTAGAGACTGTCTAGGTCTCTACAGTTTGAGGTCCTGGAAAACACTGCAGTTGTGCATTTTAAACTGTTAGTCTTAAAAAGTCGCAACCTCACAATCCAGAGTAACCTCTTGGTAGTTACAGAGGGCTGGTGCTAAGCCCCACCCATGCATCCCAAACCCCGAGGACTTTCAAGCACTTTATATAAAAAGGCATAGTACTTGCATGTGGCCTATACACAATTTTTTGTTTTAGCCTCTAAATTACTTGAAGTATCTAAAATGCTACAAATCAGAGATATTATATAGCATTATTTAAAAATAATGACAAACAGGAAGCATGTATTTGTTCAGGGCAGGCACAAGTCTCTTTAAAATAATGAAAAAAAATGCAACTGGTGGTTTTTAGCTCCAGGTACTTAGTCCCCATGTTTTCTTAAGTACAAAAGCTAAATCCTGTGTGGCCCTTAACAGAATTAGTTTACAGATGGGTACTTTCCCTTACAGAAACAGCGAGAATTATTATGAAAGCACAGCAATGAGTACTTTAAAAAATAACACTAGTACATAGCACGGAAAACACATCATCAGCGTGAGAAGGCATCCACTTTCCCTTGGCAAAGGGCACCACTTTCTCCACAGGCTGGGCGGCGCCAATGGATTTTGGCAAGGTTCACTGGAGGAAGAAAACGCCAGGTTGACAACTTTCATTTTTTTCCCCCGTAGAGACACCACTTTATAAAGTTAGCTTGTGGACAATGGCTGCCCTGGAGACCTCTTAAAGATGCTCACAGAACACCTGAGAGGGTGGGGCTGAAAGAGAGCATCGCCTATTGGTTTGAGAGAGGGAATTAACATGTAGGAGGAAGATTATTTCTCTTTTTATTGATACTAACACATATGGAGATGTACATATATACTAGCATATAGAGGTACACATTTAAAACATGAGCACACACACACACACACACACACACACACACACACACACACATTGTGCCAGCATGTGCTGTAAGAGAGAAGCTCGTGACGATTTGGAGGTGAGTGTTGATGACTAGCAGAAGTCTGCATTGTGTGCACACGCTGGAGTGAGGCTCCTGGAAGGACTGCCATTCAGCTCTCTCGAATATTTGCTAGTCCACGAGAAGTAGTCTTGAAAACTGCTGAAAGAGTGTTTGACGTCAGCAAGGCAGACCCTCTGGGGTCTGAAGAGATAGGCAACTGAAGATGCTCCAGTCCGCAGGGGGTCAGGTTGAGCTTTATGTCTGCGGCAGTGCTTCCGCTGTTAAGCCCACCCTTCAGCCAGAGCACCTGAACCCTTTCCTCACGGTGGGTGGTGGAAGAAGCGGTGGGGGGGGGGTGATGTACTGGAAGCTGATGGACTCTGTGGTTCCAGGATCCCAAAGGTAGTGTTTTTCTAAATGACACTATCAATCAGTGCAGCATTAACCAAATTCAAAAAATATGGAAGTGAGGCTGGAGAGATGGCTCAGCAGTTAGGAGCACATATTACTTTTTCAGAAGACCCAGGTTTGGTTTCCAGCATGCACTTAACAGCTTACAGCCTTTCATAACCTCCGTGTCAAGGGATCTGGTGCGATTTTCTTGCCTTACTGGGCACCAGGCATGCACGTGGTGCAATACATATATGTAGCTAAATACTAATATAAATAAAATAAGAAATAAAAATAATCATACATACATGCATGTATGCACATGTGCACACACAGACACACACAGAAGCTGTGAATCCTGGTTTCTCTAAGCACTGTATACATTTTCCTTATACATGTGGCACTCTGTATTAGGCGGGTTTTATTATTTTACATTTTTTTCCTAGATGAAGCAGTCAAGAGCCCAAATCATCAGTAACAACCAGATGAAGGCAGCATCCACCAGTTACAGTCCAGACGTGAGCTTACTCCCCTCTGTGTGCTAAACTGGCAGCTTAGGATCTGAACAACATGCCTGGAAGTGCCGTGTCAGGTTAACCTTCTAAGCGTGGTAAATTCAGGGCACTGGGATGAAAGCTACTGGGTGAGTGAGATCCAGAAGATGGAGTCATAAATGGATAGGCCGTGAGTCCTTGAAAAATAAGTCAGTCCAGACAGCAGACCCCACTCCTCAAGGTCTGGGAGATGAAGAGTGAAAACAGCAGTTGTAGGAATAGCTTTACTAGATATTGATATTTATATCCCAGCCAGTCCGTGTGCAAGTTCAGCCCCCAGCGGGTAGATTTGGTCTGGTGATGATGGTGTGCAAATTCCCCTTGGATGCATGCTTTCTGGGTTCTGATACATAAATAGAGCCAGTGCATAGTTCCCTAACTTGACTGTATACCTAAGCACTGGAGAGCTTTAGAAGTATATGTAGTGCGGACCCATTCCAGACTAATTGGAAGTCAGGGTTTCTGGGAGGGTGGCGGTGCCTATGAGGATTTTCACAAAGCTCTCCGGGCGGTTCCAGTTGTCACCAGGACTGAGTACCTCTATCAGACCTTGTCAAGACTCCTGGAACTTACTCTTGAGGAAAGACATTGGATGCCTAGTTGGTGGCCAGGGTGGCAGAGAAAGTAAGAAGTGCATTTGGTAAGTCAACTGATGGCCACACTGTGTCTCCATGTAGGCGTCTCAAAGCAGTGATTTTGAGACAATGAAGACAGTGGTTGATATGGCAAAGCCGTGCCCCGCGCTACCGTCTTGCCTGCAAGAACCACGGGGGACACATAGGATACTTCTGCAGAAAGGCTTTAATCCTCTTGGGAGCTAGAGCATAAGCCACATGGCGGAGACCCAGATATGATGGAACCCATCCCTTATATAGGAAACAGACCCTGCTTCGGACGTGTCACTCTTGGATTGGTCCGCTGCTCCCAGTCCCAGGTGATGCCTCGGGAGTAGGCGGGGACACAGAAGTGGAAAGATACCAACACGTGTGCATTCACCTGGTGGTGAAGTCGGATGTCAGCGCCATCTTGTGATGGAGAATGTGGCTGTGGCCTTCTACAAAGCCGTACGGAACATGGAAGGTATTCAGAGAAAACAAGATGTGTGCCTTGAGACAAAGTTATTTAAAATTAGGGATGTTTCTTTCTTCCTTTCTTAGTTAGGACCCAAGAACAGGCTATACCACGGCACAATATACAGAGCATTTCTTGGTCGTTTAGGCCGTTTTCCTTTGCTCAGGCTTTGCTTTAGGGCTCTTGCCTGCATATGGGGTTTCCTTAGGATATCAGCACATACAGCTGGTCTAAGTTACCAGGCATCCTCTAAAGCTTTCCGCTGTTTTTAAATTCCTCTGTATTACAGAATTGATGACAACACCTGATTTCAAGGTGGATCTTACTGTATCTCAATAGAGATAGAGCCCTTTATACGGTTGAAGGGACAGGGTGTTACCCAAGAACTAAGAACTGCCCACTTTCTGTTGATCCACACCATTGGTCCACCACTCCAACCTTTACAACCAGCACAAGCCGTGAATACTGTGACTGGGGAGAGGACGTCAAATACTTCCTACCACTCGAATCTGATGGTCCCGAGTGGTCCTCAATATATTCATATCTGTGATCATTTCTCTCCTGGTCCCGAGAGATCTCCAGGGCGGGCAGCAAAAAGACTCCATTCTTACATTTGAAACCAGAGACGCAGGCACTCGGGAGTCTCCCATCTAGAACCAGATTTGACTAGGTCTTGTCTAAAAAGCAAGTGGGTAGAAGCTACTAGGAGAACATTTCGCGAGCCATTGTATGAATGATACTCTCTTGAGAACACCAATAAGCAAGAAGCAAAAGCCACGATAAAACCGTAGTTCCCTGGAAGTACCCAACATAGGTGTGTGTCTGAATCTCCACGCTCAATCTGAAAAAGACCCAGGATTACCCAGAACCTGTTCAGAGTGGCAACTCCTCATTAGGTTAACCTCATGGGCAAGGTTTTGGATGAATCTGGGTTCTAGATCAACACCAGCGAGTAGTGTATATATACTCGCTAAGGCATCCAAGTTCTTTGCTCCTGTGACAGGTTTGTACATTTTCTCTTAGGTGTTAAGTAATTCTCTGCTATTAGTCTCATGGCCATTACACGAGGATGGGTTGGCAAGATGAACAGGCAGAGACAGAATATAAAGAGCTGCTGGTCTGTGAGGCCAAGGGCTGCAGGGCGCCCAGCGCGAGTCCAGTGCGAGCCATGGGCGCGCTGTCCACCCTGGGGACCCCCTGCTGAGCTTGGGGTGCAGCAGGGACGCGCCCCACGCCGGTGAGTGGCGCCTGCTTCTCCAGGCACGCAAGGGCGGGCTCGACGCCACTTGGTGCTGCCTTCCCATTGGCCCTGGGACACGCCGGTCGGGAGTGAGAGCTTGTAAAGTTTCATTGAAGGAGGAGAAGCGCGCGCCCTCCGGGGAGCCGGAGCAGCTTGGCTCCGGAGAGGCTGCTGAACCGCCGGTTGGGGGACACGGGGGTATCTGCACGGTTCCAGGGTTTTCTTTTCTCACTGAAGTTGCGGCAGTGGCGCCGCTCTCTGCGTTACTGGTCCCTGCCCAGGTTCGCGCGGTTCCTCGCTGTGAGGACGGTACTCGCATTCCCCACAGGCTGGCAGCGCGACCCCGGCGTGTCGGGGATGGTTTTGCGCGCCCCGTGGCTGGCCCCGGGCTTGCTCTGGCCTGAAGCTGGGGGGCGCTGAGGCTGAGAGGAGCAGCTGCTCAGCAATCCGCCCCGAGGCCCGGACTGCAAGACTCGGCTTCCAGAGCTTCGGGCCACTGTCTTTAGCGCACCGGGAGCGCCACTGTCCTTGTGGGCATCGGAGCCAGGGCTACACCACCCAGACACGCTGACTTCCAAGGGGTTCGGCTAGAAACTCCGGGCCATCCCTGAACGCCGACTCCTTCTCCTCGCCGCCCCCATCCCTCACCACTCCCAGAGTGTTCCTCCCTTGGCTCATTCCCAGGCGACCCCTGAAGCAGCTGCAGCTGGATTCCACACTTCATGGGCGGGCCGCAGGGGCTCGGGCGCCTGCCTAGCTGGTTGCCAAGAGCCCGGTGAGCAGCGGGTCCAGCCCGTCGAGCGCGCCCTCGGGGCGGAGAGCGCCGCTCCAGCCAAGGCGATGCCAGGGTGGCTGCAAGCCGCCGGCCGCTTGAGGCCCTAGGCAGGCATGGACCTGACTTTCCAGCTCTAGGGACCCCCGAGCTTCGCCCTACTGCTCGGACTAGCAAGGACCCACGACAGGATGGCTTCGGAAGTGGTGTGCGGTCTGGTCTTCAGGCTGCTGCTCCCCATTTGCCTGGCAGTAGGTGAGTGTGGTGTGTTCATGGAGGTGCCTAAGGAAGATGACAGGGTCCAGAGCTCCCGGATTCGGTTCCGAGAGCCCGCTGCACACTCTGTGTGGCAGAGGCTTCAGCTATGAGCTGTTGGGAGTGTGTCAACCCTGCGCTCTAACTTGGCAATCTAGGACACAGGGTCGGGGTCTTTTTTAGACAGTTGGGGTAGCCAAGATTGGCACGCTGTGGGGACCCGTCCAGTTTAATTTTGTCTCTCGTGGGCTTTCTTTAGAGAAGTACTGACATGTATAAAGGATGCTAGCGGGGCTGGGAAGTGATTATGGCCAAATGACTAGACTTTGCTAGAACACTACCCACCACTACCAGCACCACCAGCGAGCACCTCCACCTCCCTCTCCACCAGCACCAGTACCAGCATCACTACCCTCTCTAGAGTCCCCAGATGCTCATCACATTGTGGTGATGTGACTCAGAACGGACTCAGGCCATCTAACCTCCAGTCTACACTCCAGCAACCACATAGGAAGAAGTGAACAATCCCAATAATGGTAAGAAGAAAAGGAGACAATAGGCAGGGGGAACAGCCCTGATGATTCTCTATGTTACCCCCCAGAGCAGCCTATCTTTACAACAAAAGGGGCTGGGTTTTTGAGGTTGGAAAGCACCTCCAGACCGAATCCCACCCTTGCTGTGTCAGCTTTCTCCAAATGTTTAAAGGATTAGAAAATGGGATCTAAAACCATTCATTCCTTGGGACAGACCAGATTAAAAACGACCCTTGAGGAGTCTCAGTGATGCTCCCAAGGAGCACCTCATCTTCTTAGGTGACTCTAGGGAGTTAGGAGAAGGTGCCAGGTCTGAAGATTACAGCAGCTGTCGGAGTGCAGAAGTCTGCAGGTTTTTGCGCTGAGTGTCACATTCAATCCGGGTGTTAATATGACAGGGCTCCAAAGCCGGGCTTTCTCCCTCCCCCGACCGGGGTTAGAAAATACAACACAATACTGAGTTGTTTTTACATAGAGATCCTCTCCTTTCCACGAAAGGAAACTCGTTTGCTTCTTGTTGTTTGGTTTGTTTTTGTATCTTGACCGAGTTAGGGGACTGGGAATTACATTGGTGATACATGTGTCATTTGTTCAGGTAATCCGAAAGCGAGTTCTGGAGTTTGGATGTCTGCAGGAGGAACAACTTTAGCGGGAAGCCTCTGGGAGACTTAGGTGCGAGAAACCAGGGCTCTAGGAGAGGAGTAAGCAGCAAGGCATTGCTTCAGGTGCTTCTAGAAGAGAAGCACCCAGGCGGACAGGCTGATATTGACCTGGACTATGAGTTCCCAGATCCCAAGCAGGGCCATTTGGGCAGTGATCATTGTTCTGGTGTGCCGGAGGAAGGCAGCTTCCTCAAAGCCATGTGCGCTTTGACTCTACTAGCTTGGACAGCAGTTTTGAAAAGGTTTCTTTAGGTGTGCGACACACCGGCGGTGCCACTGTTTCGGTCTCCTGTCTTCGATGCACCTAGCTAGCATCTTGCCAATTGGATTTGTTAATTGAAAATAAATTAGGTGCCGAGTTCACCAGGTGAACTTTTCACTTAAGAGGAGGGTCCTTGGGTCAGAAGCTCCCCTCATCCACACAGCCTTTCCGCCTCTCCCCTGCACTCCCCTCAGCTCCATCCCTGTCTTTCCCTACTGCCCTGGGTTGTTTAACCCCTTGCCTGGGGCAGCAGCTTTTGCAGTGGCTGCTGGAAGAGTTAAACAGGTGGCCACCTACAGCTATCTGGATTCACTCTGTGAAATGACAACAGGGAATGGTCCCTTGATTGACTGTCATCTTGTCTAGGGTGGGGGCTTCTGTAGGACTCAGCTCACTCTCCCCTTCCTCCAAGTCACAGACACCGCGTAGGGTGTCTTTGATGATACACTACTGAAGCCCTTTAGTGGGACAAATTCACTCAGCCATGCTAGAGGAAAGTAATGCAGTGCAGAGGCTCCAGGGTTCTGGGGCAAAGCAAGGGCACTGCTCCAAAGCTGTGGTCCCAGCTCCCTCATGCCTCCTATTTCTCCAACAAACCCTCTGTGCAATGCCCATATGTGCACATCTGGGCCAAGGGATTGGATCCATCTCAGGATGCAGATGGAGTCTGCTCTGAGGTTGGGACTCTCTTGGGAGGAGCTGAACTTGCAGAGCCATAGGAATCGTATCCCTCGCCCCATCCCGCTTCCTTGCAAGTTTCCTGGACAGCTGAGTCAGTCCAGGGGACATGCAGGGGTCACCTCCCCTGTTTACTCCTTCCTCTGCACTCCCACACCTCTGTGGATTAAGGAAATATGGGGACATGCTAATGTATTGTGGTTATATGAGTATGTAAGAGTGTCTGCTTAGTGTGTGAATACATGTGGATATGAGTTATGTGAGGTTGTGAGATGATATGAATTAATCTCAGTGTGTGTGTGTGTGTGTGTGTGTGTGTGTGTGTGTGTGTTTGTGTGTGTGTGTGTGTTTGGTATTAGGTATTGGTGCCCTCAGCTCCCCCTATAGGGTGTGACTTCTGCCGGCCTCCCAAAGTCTGATGATGGAATAGGGAAAGGAGAAACCCATGGATGGAGAGAGAAGCTCTTCTGGGAATGCTCACACCATGAATCCTTGACTTGTTGGCCTCTACTTAGGAAAGATGACCCAGGTCCTCAGACGCACGGTACCTTGGATCACTACACTCTAAAAGAGAGTTGGGTAGAAATCACTTTATTTCAGCACTTGAAATCACTTCTACAGGAAATAGAGATTTTTTTTCAAGGTTATTGAGGGTTTTTAGGTCTGTTTGCTCCCAAGGTGCCACTAAATCAAATGTTCAGATTTCCCTAATATCCTGGGCATGGAGATCACAGTGACCTGCTTGCTATTAGAATCGATTTTGCATTTTCCCTATCTATTTTTATATCTGGGCAAGGCAGCCTTCAAAGCCTCGCCTTTATAGACACTCACATACATTTCCTTTCAACCTTTTTCTTTCATGGGATGTTGACATTTTCCTGCAAAAGTGCCCTACTCCTTTCAACTAATGAGCAATGTTGAAAATGGACTGCCTTTGTGTTTAGCCCAATGCTTAAGTTTTTTTTTTAATCGCAGGAATTAAAAGGAAAGTGGTAAGTGATGTCAAGCCTCTGGTGTGCAGGTGTTTTGTGTTAGCAAATAAGCCAAACTATACTAGAATATTCTGTTTACCACCCACAATGAATATCTGCCCATCTCCATAGCTACTGGACATGTCTGATATCTCCAGAATAATCTATGACTACTTGCTAGCCATTTGATTTCTTTTATATGCATAACATAAAAGAGAACAGCAAAGCACTTCTATAGTATGCAATCTATAGTAATTGTAGTAATAGCGGGAACATTGATGAGTGCCTTGCTTATATATTTTATGCGGTTTTTTCTTTCGGTGTGATTCCAATTTCCAAATCATGCCTTTTATTTTCCTTCTGGTCCTGAAGACTGTATCCAGAGCCTTGCATATTCTAAGTACTGCAGTACTGTGCTATACGTTAGCCATCCCACTTATCTTAAGACAAATGACTTGAAGTTATTGCAGGATTTGGAGGGATTAAGATGAGTCTTAGTTTGGTTTCTGCTACTGTGATAAACACCATGACCAAAAGCACTTTGTGGGAGGAGAGGGTTTATTTGGCTTACAGGTTAAAATCTGTCATCGAGGGAAGTCAAGACAGGAACCCAAAACAAGAACCTAGATGTCGGAATTGGATCAGAGACCATGGTGGAGCCATGCTTGCTGCCTCGTGCCCACTGACTTGCTTAGCCACCTTTCTTAGACAGCCCAGGCTCACCTGTTGTGGGGATGGCACTGCCCACAGTGGTTCGGATCTTTCTGCATAAATTAGCAATTACAAAAATGCCTCCCAGATAGATCATATGTTAGCAATTAAGAAGATGCTTCACAGACAAGTCTACAAGCCAGTCTGGTAGAGGCAAATCCATTTTCCCAGCAGTGTCTAGATTTGTGTCAAGCCAACAAAAACTAGCAGCTGGATTAAATTTGGGGCTCCTTTTGATATGTGTGTATCTGTGGCTATTAATATTTCTTTTTACAGAAAATTTTTGCTATTAGAAATAATTTTGAAACTCACACTCTACACAGTCCAAACATTGCAAATGAAGCTATTTTTTATTTAATCATTAGGAGGCTTTTATGTGATTTGTGCTGTTTACTGCTATCGTAACCCTCCAGGGCGGGGGTTTTAGCTGTTGAAGGATTCATAAAAAGCACTTAAAATGCTTTTGATTTTGGTCACATCTTCGCAGCCTGCTTATTACTGTTAATTACTCCTGGAAACAAAAGGCTTACATTAGTGATTCTCAACCTTCCTAACGCTGGGACACTTTAATACAGTCCCTCATGCTGTGGTGACCCCACAACCATAAAATTATTTTTGTTGCTACCTCATACCTACGATTTTGCTACTGCTATGAATCGTAATTTAAGTATCTGGGTTTTCCAGAGGTCGCAGGTGACTCCATTGAATGGGTCATTGGACCCTACCATGGGCAGTGATCCACAGGTTGAGAACCACTGGCTTAGCAACCTAACAAAATATTTCAACCCAGATGAACTTGAGTGAGTGGCTGTCACTGGAGACGTGGGAGCTGGAGTTCATGTGGGAATCTTGCTTTGCAGGAAGTGTATTTAGGCATAGATAGAGACTAGCATATTGTCTTGGATTTCACTTTTGGGTGAGGACATATTGCCAGCGGATCATGCCCTGCCTGCAGCCCTTTCTATATGACTAGAGTAGTTTCTATACTCTAGAGTAGTTTTTGTTATTTTTACTGGTTTTTTCCTTTCTTCCTGTAAACGAGAGTTGAGAGTACTGCCTTCTGGGTACGAGTGTACACAATCACCTGTGTCATACCTAATAAACCGAGGAGACTGCATTATATGTATAAATCCAATCAGGAGAGTTGGCCTGCCTGCTCAGAACTCCCAGACCAACAGGTAGT